TTGCTGGGCAAAAGCCTCCTCTGTACAGAGGGTGTAAGGTCACCATAATCCCCACTGCGGATAGGCGGAATTCATCTATCTTGGAAACATTTTTGAGGTATTTTTTTATTTTTTTTTTATGTGAAAAATTGCCAAGCGAGCACACGGTTCACCTGATGTTACGTGAATACCACCGCCCATCTGCTACACCCGAGGGTTCCAGATGCGTTGACCTTTTGAAAATTGGGCTCCGGCAACCTCACTCACCAGAAGAATCGCGAAAGTATTATATTTCCACTTTACGCTGGTCTTCTGTGAGGTCGTGGTACTTAAACTGACGGACCTGCTCAGTTGTGCAACAGAAAAGACTGTTAGAAGACTCTACTGTTGTGGTAATTAACTTATTTGATTAATTTACGTATAAAGCATGAAGTCAACGTTTAAGAAAAACTTAAATATAACATCGAATTTCTTTGCAACAGATCACCTTTGATAAATTTAATAACAGCCCTTCAACTCAACTTCCCTCGCCCGAAGTGTTGCAAAGGCTGTCCCACTTTTGAATATCGATTCGTTATCTAATCTTTTACATCCTTCTGAGCATCCGACATGCGCAATCTTTCCTCATAGTATTATAATTAAATCTGCCGTAATCTATAAAAAACTTAAACGTTTTATATACATAAGACATAATTCATTTTCGCTTTGAACATTGTTAAAAGCAACAAGATACTTTGTACACTCACACAGTTAATTCTCGTGATATATTCGTGAAATGTCTTAATTTTAAATTTTAAAATCTATAATGATTCAAATGAACGTCTAAGAAGGAAGCTATGTTATAATAGTGTAAAACGATAAATTATACGTGGTCCGCTTTTCTGTGTAATTGATGATACAAGTCTTCTTAACTATCTATGTACTTTGAGTCTCTAGTGTGGGTATTTATGTGATTTACGCACTTAAATTCGACATGGACAAATATTTAAGAACCATCTAGAATGTTTTTATTGCACAATACAGATTTATTTTTACACTATTTAATTTTTACACTATTTATTAAAAATAAGTTATAGAGATGGCATTTCAAGTATTTCCTCAAAATTTTATTTCTTAGACAGTTTGCCCTGATCTAAAAAAAAAACAATTATTGAGAGATCTAAATAAAATAAAAACTTAGTTTAGTTTTTGTTACAAGCTCTACGTGTTTTGTGTTTTCTTTCCGTGCTATGGAAAATACATCTATCTACTTAATTATGATAATAGGTCTGCCGGTGTGCGCGCATCACAGTAAAACTTATCGATAGATTTAAATGAGTTCTTCAAGTTTTATTTGACACTTGGCCCTTATTTAAAAGTAAAAATATTTTGATATTCATGTTATGTAAATTTATTAAAGTTTTAAGACACAATAATTATTATTAGCAATATGTATTACCTTGGCGTAATCGGTAAAAAACATTGTAAATATAATAAGCAACACAGACAAAATGGATTATCATGATCATTTGTCTTATAAATACAGCGGCGCAAAAGCTCGACGACTGCAAAACAGAATCGCCAAAAGTTACATGTTGATATCTTTTTTTACGTGCATTTATGAAACAATAGGCTGTCATTGTGTGACACTATAATCTGTGGGGCGAGATTAGCGCGGGAATGTGTAAAAATGCTGTCACACGTCCAATGTAATGTTGATGACAATTTCGTCTGGAAACAGTGCGTGGCGTATGCGGAAGATTTCTTTAGCTGCCGGTCGTTATAAAGTATAACGTAACTAGCTAGAATTAGAGGCTATATTCGATTGATAATTGGATTTTGATGTCGCAAAAGCGTATGTGAAGCCACGATTTGATCCGAGTCTATCTTGTAATGACAATAGTGTTGGAAAAACATACACATGTGTTTGTTTAACATTATAGGAACACCATGGATAGAAAATTGTGATTGTAAAATGTTAGAAGGAAAGAAAAAGTTAATTAATTAATACATTTCAATACGAACTTGAAATAATAAAACAATTAAATATAAAATGTACAATATCCCCAAATTATATTATTGAACTTTGCAACAGAGCTAATAATTATATTATTTCTTATGCTACATGTTATGTGTATTGTGTTGTTGTTATGACCCAGGAAAAGGTAAATAATATATTTCGTAACCATACTAAAGCCTCTTACTTTGCTTCCTTGTCAGGGTGCCTGCTGTGCCACATGCAACGAATGCAATATAATTGTGGCTGTATCCATAAATATGCCTTCACTCAGCTTTATGGTATGCCACTGGAATGGAGTTTGCAGTTAATATGCAATCAATACGCAATTCTATTATATACACATTAATTTTAAAAATGAAGATAGAGAGATTGAGATTAATTTTATATGTACGTATATTTGAAACAAATTAAAATGTCTCAACCATTCGAAAAGCCTAGAATAACATGTCCGTACTTAATTAATACGTAGGTTAGTAACACCATTAAGGCATACGAGAATTTACATAACTCGGACTTTCAATAATGTCTTTGCACGAAGATATGCATCCATCGCCTTATTATTCCGTAACACTTAATCCCGGGCGCTTTCTAATTACGACCTGCTTGCCAGACAAGTGCTGTTCCAGGGAACGCTGGATCAAGTAAATTTAAGTTTAAACGAGTAAAAGTGATTTTATTAAATTTTAAATTATTGACATAATATGGATCACTTTCAATTCTATACGATAAATTGCTTCTTTACTAAGAAGACTTTCTTTATTAAGAATGAACAGTTATTTTCAAGTGAACATAAAATTTCTATGTAGTATGCATTACGGTCTTACCACGTTATAACAATTTACCAAATCGAAAAAAATAAGAAAAATTATTATATTAACATCTTATAATTCTCTTTTTTTAAATAATTCAGAAACAGTTTGTTTGGTATGATGTTCTAGATGATGTGATTTAACCCCTGATAATTAAGCGAAGTCGAGACGACTCGGAATTTCATCACTTCGCCACAAGAGACTTAAAGATATCGTGCGGGGTAAACATATCGTGTTGCCCTAGAAAACTGAGCCTTATGCAACCAAAAGGAAATTATGTCCAAGAACGCTATATCAGTTTCCGATGTGTTATTAGCTAAAGATTAACGCGGTATATAGTAATAACTATTATAATTGAAGAAGTACATTGTTGCAACGAACTAATATTAGTGTATCAAACATTAAAATGTACCATATAAATAAATATATTACAAAGATTTCTTAAATTTTGTTGTGATGGTAGAGGTATGGTGAATATTATCATGGTACCATGGCCTCACAGGGAGCCTGCATGAATGTGAGCACGTGGCAAGCCAGCTAACGGTTCACTTAATGTTAAGTGATAACCGCCACCCATGGACACTATTTGGAACACGCGTAAGGTTGCAGATGCGTTGCCACCTTTTAATAAAGTGAGCCCCGGCTACCTTACTCATCTTCCACTTCACGCCGGTCTTCTGTGAGGTCGTGGTGCTTATTAGATAGGACCTGCCCATTCTTGCAACAGCGTACTGTTGCGTGGCCCTACCACAGTGCGTGAAGGCGATGTGTTATACTTTCGCGATTCGTCTGGTGAGTGAGGTAACTAGGGCCCATATTTTTATGTGTGTCCCAAACATTATTTTATGTGGTCCCATGGCTAACGCGATAAGTGCTTATATTCATGCGAATAAATACTTAAAATGAATTTGATAAAATCAGGTAAGATGTTCTAAATTAACAATGCCTACCGTCATTTGGGTCCTTGTTTCTTATCTTGTTTAAGAACATAAAAATAGGAGCCGTGATAGCTCAGTATATCGTGATAACTCGATATATTAGAGCAACCTGAGTTCAATTCCCGGTGCTGGCACCAATGAAATTCTTAATTTTAATATTAAGTGTTGACTTATCATGTCCTCGGCTGTGAAGGAACAAAATCGTGAGGAAACCTGCGTGTATTCGAAATAATAAAAAAAATACTTATATATTATACCATTTGCTGTTGAAACATTAGGTCCGTGGGGTCCCCGCACATCAAATTTTTTTAAAAGTTTATGTCCTAGGCTTAACGCCGCGGCTGGTGACAAGAGAGCTGGTTCTTTTCTCGCGCAAAGGTTGAGCATAACTATTCAGCGAGGAAATGCAGCTAGCGTTCTTGGCACCATGCCGCGTGGATTAGGTTTATTAGATAATATGTAATTTTAGATAGATTTAATCTTGTAAATATTAGATCAATAAAGATTGTTATAGAAAATAAAAAAATACTTTGGAGATATGTTAAGTCTCGTCTTCGTAATGGATTCGCACGATAATTCCCCCCGTACAAACTCGTCTCTCCTTTGTCCTGCAGTGGGACATATGAACTTTTTACTGTTTAAAAACACTTCTGGTTATTATATACCATAGATGAATATACATTATACATGAATTGATTATAGAACAAATTTCATATTCGTCATTTCGTAGAGACGAGCTGTGTATGTCGTCATAACTTTAGTTATATCGTTATAACCTAGAACGTTAACACAATAGTGTTTTCGGTGTTTCAAAATTGTCGCAAACTCCAAGCATGTGGTAATATGACGACGGGCCCATTAGGCTTCCGAAGGATGGCCATTAACCAGCAATCTTTTTTAAATCATCTTTCGCCATTACCTAATTGTCGATTTTACAAAAGAAAATTTTCCTATGCGTCCATTGCAAAAGTTTTTTTGTGCATAAAGTTTTAAATAAATAAACGTCAAAGAAACTGCAAAAAATATTTCGATCTTTGTTACCTAACATAAACAATATTGCTTACGATACAGGAAACACTATTTAATTAATATGCTCACAGTGAAATTCGGAACTGTGACATAACAGTGATCGGATATGACGGAATAATTCAACTGAAAGAGATCCATACCACTGTACTAGTTATCAGATAAATCGATAATTTCAGGAGTTCTCACCTTGTGTGCACCGTATTTGTATTGCCATCTTAAATCGACGTAATATAATTTGATCTTGCAATGACCGTACTTCGTGGCAGTCTGTGGGGGAGGCCTATGTTCAGCAGTGGACTCAAACAGGCTGAAATGATGATGATGATGAATGACCGACAGTTAAGCTATCCAATTGTCGAAAAATTTAGCAACGACCCACGTAACTTCAACTGAAAACGGTTGCGCTAGTTGCGACAAACTCCTTATGATGAGCGATCACAATTCATCATTAGCAAAATGTGGCTTAACGCAAACACATACGTCAAGTTGAAAATAAAGTACTCGACGCGTTAACGTCACCATTAGTGAACTGCTTTCAGACTATCTTGCAACAAGTTAATTATTGACATAATATGTTGGTAAGAATAAATATAAACGTTCACTGAGTTAGTGTTCAACAGCCTACATATCACTAAACATCAGTACAAACTCTGTACAGTGCATGAAAGAAAGGCCTAACGAAAAAAACAAAAATGAATATGTATTGTACTAATAAATCATAAAGAAAGTAGGTTATTGTAACACTTATGGCACTCTCACTTTACCTTACTAAACATATAAAACCTCTATATCAAAGGGTTAGAAATTTAATAAAGCGCACGTACATTTATTACATTATGGTGTTTAGATGCATTGTTAAAGAAACAAAACTACGCCAATCGCTCTCACTAAAATTGCCAAACAAGAAAAAATTCCTATAGATCATACAAACGTTTATCTCATTTAGTAATCCGCTATAGCAAACCCTTTTTGTATCTGTGGAAAAACAACGCGTTTGAAGTAAAAGCCCACAAATATAAAGCCTTGCAGCGCCTTCGAGTTTTATACATGAAACGGGCACAGAATCGTTAAAACGTTTTTGCTATTTGATAAATTAAAAATATATAATATAGTAAACATTTTTTTAATTCTTCTAATCATTATACTTTAATACTGCTTAGTCAATAATAAGTATACTATAATCTGTTTTAAGAAAATAATTGAAAACTGATTGATAAATAGTGATGGAGAAATAGACTTCCTAAATCAAATTGAGTAAAATAACCTAACTTTGTATTGCGTTGTCAAAGAAAATATATTCTTTATTCGTTATTAGATTACTTATTACATAACGCTATACGAGTATTGTGCTTAATATTTTATTAACCGTCTATTAGTACCGATGTATCAGTTATTTATAGTGTTCACGAAAGCTTTATCTATCATGGTCATATATACGGACTAATCTTTTTATCTTTGCCTATTTAAAATCATAGCTCCAAGAAAATCACTTCCCACAGGTACTGAAAAGGATGAAACTTTTTCAAACATGTAATGAACATTACTCCCGCATTTTTCTTGTATACTTTTTTTATATCTCTTATATTTACCTACACCTGAATAATACGATACACAGATATCCCCTGGTGTATAAAATATTATATTACAGTAAACACTAAACAGTTTTGTACATGTATGACTTATTCCAAATGTGTGTTTCTTGTTCACAAAGGCCTAAGAACTGAATAAACACAATACTGACCAATGAGAGTATAAAATTATATCTTTAAGTGATAATGGCTCTTAGGTCGCGGAGATTAAAAATGTTTATTTTTGTCTGGAGTTATACTTTAAAGATTTGTTCACATGTACATAAAAACCATGTTTTTGAAGTTTAGAAAAAATTGTGAGAGAAAAATTTTTACGATGCGCGTAATTTTGCAAAGTAACCAACTCACGGTATTACCATGGTAACCAATAACAAACTTTTGGCACTTACCTATAACTTTTTTTTATGTGAAAAGTTGCCGAACGAGCAGACGGTTCACCTGATGTTAAGTGAATATCGCCGCCCATGGACATCTGCTACATCCGAGGGTTTGCAGATGCGTTGACAACCTTTTTGGAAATTGGGCTCCGGCTACCTCACTTACCAGATGAAACGCGAAAATATTATACTTCCATTTTACGTCGGTCTTCTGTGAGGTCGTGGTACCGTGGACCCGGACGAGCCTGCCCATTGCAACAGGCGAGGCTGCTGCGTGGCCCTACCACCGTAGACTCCAGTTAATTAAATAAACAGTTATCAATTATATTCAATTATGTTTTTCATTAACAAAAATTGCATGTAGGTACAGGGGATAGAAAGTATAATTATTTTCTTTTTCACGCTAAAAAACATATGTGTAAGATTGCGTACTTGTACAATGCAAATGCTCTCTTTTAGCTTAGTTAAATAAGTAGATTTTTTTATGAAGTACCTTTCAAATCATAAACTTTACTTAATGAATCCTTCGCTAATAATTTGCATATTTTGTATAACCAAGTCCAGTAATAATTATAATATTGTTTTCTCTATACATAGGACTAGCTTATTTTTAAAAAAATACATTTTATTTCAGAACTACGTCTCTTTTATAATTATGTTTGTCCGGTTTAATTTCACAACGTTTTAAGAACTGAACGTATACGACGAATAATATGGTATTCTCAATTGTAATTGGTATAATCTCAGAAACAATAAACACAGATGAAATAATTTCCATAGCTTTTTCAACAGTGTTCGCTCAAGTGTGGATGATTTGTTATTTTAGATTTTAACAAATGTTAACAGGGTTACTGTAACGAATTAAGCATCTGCATGTAAACAATCTCTTCTGTAGTTTGTTTTCAGATGTCGTCTCGTAATGAAGTGCGCTTTGATTTGTCTTTTTGCTTTTCTGTGTACGAAAACTATTGGTTCGGGTACACTTGACGAGCGCTTTCGTATCCTATATTCGGACGTGGTTAAATGTAAGCGACTATTGCTTTCCTTCTTATAAACTATTACAATACTATGGTACCTTTTATAATTCATTGAATTAGTATATTACATGTCCTATTCAAAAATATTCACATATCATTTACCTTTTTATCATATCTCATATAAAACCTCTTCGGATATATAAGATTCATAACGTATCGGTTAGCGTATAGGGCCTATATGAGACGCGAAACTATGAAAAGCTTTAAACTTTAGCCTTTCATGTTTAGTGTAAAAATTATAGTCTACTAACTCTATGAATGTGTATTAACTATTTAATGATATCGTAAAACCGTAGTAAAAAGTCACTTAATAAATAAATAAGGTCTACATAGATATGTACGTATGTATTTATTCATAAATACGATTTAAATATTTTGAATCTTATTATTAATTAACATACAACATTTGTATAAATGTAAAAAATTTATTTTCTAGGTCAATTCGACAAATCACTAGATTTGGACGTCAGCGAGACAAAAGTTTATTTCTATGATTTCACCAATAACGTGAACATTTGTTGCACCGTAATCAATACTCTCGATTGCATTACTAACGTAATAAGTCTCGACTCATCTCGACACTTTGTAGTCTTCGTTCCCGGTTATAAGTGTTCCATAAAACGCGACATAGAGGAGCTGGTCAGGCGAACTTACAGGGGAGTACCTGACACATACCTAATCATCGTCGACCATTCGGCATACACTTACGAATCGGCGGACAAGCTCAGAAGCTACGAAAGATCGGTCCTCTATTCTTACTACATCGGGAGAGCGCTGGGCAAGCTCCTGGCTAGATTCAACAGAGTCGGATATCCGTCGAGGAGTTTCCATTGCATAGGGCACAGCTTAGGTGCGCACATCCTCGGCTTCGCCGGCGAGAGCTACTTTGCCCAGACGTCAGAGAGGATTTGGAGAATCACAGGATTGGACCCGGCCGGTCCGTGTTTCTCTAATGCCGCGAGGGATGTTCAGCTGCGGTCGGGAAACGCGGAGTACGTGGAGGTGTACCACTGCAACGCCGGCCATTTAGGCACGACTAATGTTATAGGTGATGTGGATTTCTTCTTTAATGACAGAGGAAAAATCCAGCCCGACTGCCAAGAAGGTAGGTTTATTTATTTAATGTTTATGCACACAAAATGTGTGTAAAGGCGGATTAATCATCAGCGTTATCTGGCAGTCAACCTTTATGTGGTAGGATGAATACAAAAAAAACGTAAGTCAACTCATAATAACGGGGGAGGAAATTAATTGGTGGTCTCGAAATATCGAATGTAAACAGTGTTCAATTTGCCCACTGATTGGCAATTCTTACCTAAACCAAGTTTATGGCATGGCAACGGTTAGTGTTGAAAATGTGATTATAAAATGAACCGAACAATACATTTAAAGACATTTAAAGACATTTATTCCGTCACCTTAAAATAGTTGTACAGAACTTAATCAATAAAATTACAAAAAATAAAAACACAAAAGTTTACGAAAAGAAAAAAAATATATCAAAAAAGAGAAAAAATGGGTAGTAAAGTATTATAATAAAATTATTAAATTAAAACATACATCACTAATATACTGATACTAACAATGACTCGTATTTCAACAAAGAGCGGATGTTTTCGTAAGGTTGAACAAAACATAAACTATCCTCCTTAAGAACACGAACTCGACAAAGATGAAATGTTTATTTATTTATTTTTATTTACATAATATGTTCCGCAGGCTTGAGTGACGAGGACCTAGCAAAGTGCTATCACAAAGCCTGCGTTAAGTACTGGACAAAAAGCGTTCACCAGCCTCGCATTTACGCAGCCGTGGCCTGTCCGTCGTATGAGGCGCTCGTCGATGGCGCCTGCGATGGCAACTCCACCATAGCAGGCCATTCGAACCCCGGAGACGCTAAAGGAATCTACTACGTTTCAACCACATCCGATTCCACGGCAGTTTGAAAAGGAATCTGTCTTTTTACAAGTTGTGCCACTCTCACATTTTATTTATTTACGATGTTCACTGCGGCCGATAAGTGTGGGCTACTATGCTACTTGCCTCTTACACAAGATTACTCTCAAATATTTCTGTTCAATAATGACGATCTATCGGAGAGGAGAGCCTTAAATGATATATACGAAAATGGTCACAACGAAAACGTCAGTAAATATGTAAATAACGCAATAAAATAACTACACTGTAATGATTTAACCATAGATGTTCTAATTTTACTTTTTTTTTATTTGTTCCTAGCTTTTCTTGAAGCCCTTAAATAAATATCTTTTTTTTAAACATTTCTTTTAATATACAGTTATAATATTAGTAGGGATTATTAGTAAACGCTTATGTGCCAAATATTTGATAAATTACTACTATTACTAGACCTATATAGCTAAAATAGAATAATAGACCAGACAAGTATAAATACAATATTAATTTAGATTGTGTAAAATACATATGAAGTGATAAAAATACAAAAAATAAGCATTTGCCGTGATAACCTAACGGGGCCTTTTATATATTATTTAGGTCAGGGAGATAATAGGATTCGCTTTAACATTTAGGGATCCATTGGTGAAGAGAAGGCATTGGACAACGTTTTCCATTTTGATTTTAAAGTAATGGCAACGAAAATCTTCACGTGTTGGCATAATCCAATGCAAGCCATTGATATAACGACCACAGCAACATCCAACAACACCGGACATGGAAACCACAGACGGTATGACGTCAGTCACCTCATTCACCAGACGAAAAACAAAAGTTTAAATGAATATATTTATTTCACTGTTCTGTGTGAAGCCCTGATTTTTTGACCTAATTTTATAAGGTGTCGACCGTGCTAAATGTTTGTCTGCTTTTTCTTAGGCACTCAGTGTCTTTGAGTAATCTCTCTCCTCTCTCAAGTATACCGAACGTTCATTGGAACAGCGGTTAAGTCAGTTTAGGCTCCTCCGAATGAGGTGGCCGATTCATGTACGGTGAGAGTGATTATGTGAATTCACCTGATGTTAAGTGAATACCGCCGCCCATGGACATCTGCTACACCCTAGGGTTCCAGATGCATTGACAACCTTTTAAAAATTGGGCTCCGGCCACCTCACTCACCAGACGAAACGCGAAAGTATTATACTTCCACTTTACGCCGGTCTTCTGTGAGGTCGTGGTACTTACCCGGACGAGCCTGCCCATTCGTGCAACAGCCGAGGCTGCTGCGTGGCCCTACCACCGTAAAATTGTAAGCTGTTGCTCTATTATAGTCATCATCTTCCTGTTCTTATTTCACCTAGTTAGGGTCGGCACAACATGTGTCATGTTTCAAGTGGTTTTGGCGAGGTTTTCTACGACTGGCCGCCTGCCTGACGTCATACCTCTTTGCTAACTAACACCTTGATCCTCATCAAAGTATTCAACCTTCATAATGGACAAAACAACCGTCAAAAAGGGTGGATACCGGATACGTCACTTATTAAAAGAAACGCGATGTGTAATAAATCCACTTCACACCGGTCTTCTGGTCCGAACCAACCTCCCCTTTCATGCAACAGTAGAATCTGCGTGGGCCTACCACAGTAATATCCTGTCGAGCATGGACTTGCACATAATATTAAAAACTACAAGATCGAAAAACTTAAATTGAAATAAAGACACAGCACGCCAATACTGCAATAATCAAGATACTCTTAGTTCTTTCTTTCATAGTTGTGAATCAAATAATTGATAGCCTGGCTCAATTGACATTAGGACATAAACAACCCGACCACTGTGATATATGTGCCGAGGTCGAAGATAAGAAAATATAGGAGGAGAAATATAAGTGTGACCTCTCGCTGGCTGCCATGGTTCACACTGTGATGGACAGCGAGAGACTTTATCACCCAGAAGGAGTTGCGGAAAGACTAAGCGAGGCAACCGTCCTGGCAAAACCAAGTGCCTAAACTTGTGAGGATGTAGAAGGCCGGACAGCTAGATAAGTCAGTGGCATTACGTCTAAAGAAGGTTCGAACACCACTCCGATGGCTTTTTGACGGATCCATAAAAGAATAGTCGCACGTAAAAAAAGGATAGGGAAACTATTCACCCTGTCCCGTAACCACTAACGCTGTAAAATTTTTAGAAACGTTGTGAATTTTAAAGCAAAATGAAACACGATTAACTCCTTGAAATACTTTTGTTTAGCCAAGTCCATTATTCGCGGAGAGCGAGAAATTATCCATGCAGTTACATTTTAACGTTACACGTTGCTCATTATATTTCTGTAAACGACACAATTAAAGTGCACAGTGACGCAAACTGCAAAACTTCCTGAGTACAGACAACAATGACGGGATTCATAGTTTTTACAGTGAACGAGACGGATGTTTTATTGTTCCTAAGGAATAAAGGTTTTCCGACGAAACCTCGCTTTCGTACGCGGTAAAATTCCGATCAATGACAAAGTTCAGTAAAGAGGATATATGTCCATATGTTTTAATAGGGAATAAGGAAAGACAGAAGGAAGAATAAGTAGAAATGTAAACACATTTAAAAATCGCGAATAGCTTTACTGTAAGCAGACTGAAAAAAAAGCATTTAAAGAAAACACAACACAAAATTTGTATAAAGATGCTCATTTCATTTAATATTTTTTTTTCTTTTCTTTTTTTAAAAAAATATTGCCCTTAATTTAGGATAACATTATCCTGTGTTGTAGGGACGTTTTACAAACATAAATTTCGAGCTGACAACCACCCAGATGCGAAACAACTACCTGTGGGTAAAACAAATAGTTGTCCCGTGTGGGAATCGAACCCATGACCCCCGACGCCGAAGCCAATACCTTGGCAACTGTGCCACGGAGTCATCCATTTACACAGTCATTATTTTGGTAGTCTAAAAATGGTAATACTGATATTAACGACTGTTTCGATGAGTACCCGAAAAGAACTTTGTCGTCGTGTTAACACCTGAACAAGTGGTTCTGTTAAGTAAAATCTTTCAACTACAACAATCCATGGGCGGCGGTATTCACTTAACATCAGGTGAACCGTCTGCTCGTTTGACAACTTTTCGCATAAAAAAAAAACTTAGCAACCACACACAACGTCCCGATTGGCCTAGTGGGTAGTGTAGCTGCCTTTTGCACCAGAGGGTGTGGGTTCGATAATCGAATTGTGGAGCTATTGGAAAAATCTAGTGTTGCTCTTATATATTTATATATATTCATTTACAAAAAAGTATGTAAAGTAGTTTTATCAGTTACCTAGTACCCATAGTACAAGCGTTGCTTAGTTTGGGACTAGAGAAGGTTGTGTAAAAATGTATCCTGAAATATTTATATTTACCTGAAAGGGAAAGCAAAGTTAGACTCTAAGAAGCTTGGTGTTCTTATTATAGAAAGACAGTATTCTCTGCCGACCCTGCTCTACAAAGCACAAATTCTTTCCCCATTAAAAACAAACATATGTACATAAATGTAGGAAAATGACAGATGACAGATTGGCCCTGGACGGCGGCAATGACCTGTAACATTAAAAAAAATAACAGGAGTCGATACATCCATCTCAGAGGATGAGGATGCAGATGATGATTCCTCTTCATTCATTCCGCTTCTTACATTCAAAACATTTACATACAAAACCGCAACTTAACGAAATAAAGAAATAACAATACCATGACCGTAAAACCCAACAAGAATGTAGATACACAACTGAAATATTTATCCAGGGTATTAATTTATGTACGATTAGTTTTTGAACGTGTCCAAAGCTTACCATCAACCTATGAATACAGTTTAAGCTTACCTCTCAAATTTCCTGGAGATTTTGCAAACTTGCTGAAAAATATTTCCAGTTTTATTTTTTACATTTTAAAACAATTCCCCAAAGGAAACGTTTAGGTGAAGTGATTGTTACAAGTATAATGAACTCCGCAAATTACTCACCACGGGAAAACTCGACGTACTCGTGAATGGAAGGATCAATGGGTAGTCAAAAATTCATCACTACGTAGTATAAAACAAAGTCGTCCCGCTGTCTGTCTGTCTACTACGCAACGGATCTTGACGCGGTTTTTTTACTAGATGGAGTGATTCAAGATTATAATACTTTGCGCCCACGTAAAGCCGGGATGCGTCACTAGTCTTGTCAATAAACATATGACATAAAAAAACCATCATTGAAGGATTCAATAAAGGATGCAATTAATGCAATTATATTGAAGAACTGAAAATAACTTAACGCATTGAGTACAATTCCATTGAAATAAATCGATCACAATTCTGCAGAAGACAAGAGACCACGCGGACTCGAATATTATTAGCAGGACACTTCACGGGTCATACCAGACACACCATATACACTTAATGCTCATGGAAAACAACTTAAATCTAAAACAACTTAAACCTTCTTAAATCTGCCCTTACGTACAGAGAATAGCATTATAAAAAGTATTGTCCTTTAAAATCTTAAATCATCTTTATAAATATTGAATTAAACTTAAGAATTCTAATATGCAAATAAAACATAATCGTTTACAGTGTTTTTCAACTGTGGTAGGGCCACGCAGCAGTCTGCTGTGGCACGAATATGCAGGCTTGTCCGGGGAAGTACCACGACCTCACAATGGACCGGCGTGACGTGGAAGTGTTAATTTTGCTTTTTAGCAGAAGTTAAAGTTAAAGTTAAAGCCACTAAGCTATGAACTAAAATAACTAATAGCTTGTGCTATTTTTCTATCACCTGGTCTCTTAAGTCTCAAATGTGTAGAGTGGCCAGTCTTGACAGATGAACTGTATAGTAAAATAGTAAATATATTGAAACAGTTTTTAATTTGAGATTTTCGATTACCTTTATCAGAATTACACGGGGCGCACTAAGAGTTTCCGGAATGAATAAGAAAAAAAATGCTATTAAAGGTCAAAAATGAATTTATTGTTTATCCAAATATCAGAATCTTTACCTGTAGAAATCGGAGGAAGGAGCCAACTAGTTGGGTTTGCGTAGCCGCAGAATTTCAATGTTATTACGCAAATGGGACAGTTATCCTGTTGCAAAAGCGATGATAATGTGGACGTAATTCACGTAATAATCCATGTGACGTACATTTCAATATCTGAGTCAAATTTCGCGGGTTTTCCTTCGAGGCATTGTTGGGCGTTACTAGCGCAATACTTCAATAAAGCTCGGCGTACACTACGCAGGAAAAACGCTTCGCTTCAATATACAGCGTGTCGTTACCATCGCGACAATAAATGAACACACATATAGGGGATAAATTTTAAAGTTGTATTAAAAATTTAAATTCTTTAATAATCAATATTTACAGAGTTACAAAAAAAAGAATTTTAGAACACCTTTACCTATAAAAGCGTAACGTAAAGTTCATTTGTAAAGGTCACAAAGCATATGAATGGGTTGTATGAATTTAAAAGAGACAAAACATACTGTTAGAAGGAGAGGCTTGTAATGCGACGCTGTGGCGCGAATTGTATAGGATGTTACAAATTTTGTTTCTCTTCTACTTAATTAGTTTCTTTGAAAAATATTTTTTTTAATTATGGATTTTGTTTAACGTTAATATTTTTTTATGATTATTGGCACGTAGCGTTAGACGTGTGTTCATTTATTGTCGCGATGGTAACGACACGCTGTATGTATTTAATTCACCAAAATTGCAATGTGTAAATATGTGGGATCACTTTTAGCTTCTCTGGTATGATAGTATGTAACTGGTAAGCGTAAGTATTTCACGATAACAGCATTTTATTTGTATGTGTTAATAAAGGTTTAATAATGTTAAAATACGAGCAAGTTCTTAGTTCTACTGACAATTTTCTTTTTATTATGAGGTTTTTTATTTTTTATTTCGCATGTATACTAGGGTGGTAGGGCCACGAAGCAGCCTCGGCTGTTGCACGAATGGGCAGGCCCGTCCGGGTAAGTACCACGACCTCACAGAAGACCAGCGTAAAGTGGAAGTATGACAAATACTTTCGCGTTTCTTCTGTTGAGTGAGGTAACCGGAGCCCAATTCTCAAAAGGTTGTCAACGCACCTGTAACCCTCGGGTGTAGCAGATGTCCATGGGCGGCGGTATTCACTTACCACGGGTGAACCGTCTGCTCGTTTGGCAACTTTTGACATAAAAAAAAAATACGGGATGAATAATGACGAATTAATAGATATATATGGGCACATTCTGTTTGGCCGGATATCTTTATAGCGTACGTTTTAATTTTTAAATAAAGTAATATTTCAGGACACATTATTATTTTTCCCTAGTCTCAAACTGAACAACGATTGTATTAAGGGTACTAAATAACTGATAGCATATCTTTAAACATACTCCAATTTTTTAAATAAATACATAATATTATAAATATACCAGCTGACCCGGCAAACGTTGTTTTGCCATATAAATTATTAAAAAATGTTTGGGGTGGACCACCCTTAACATTTAGGGGGATGAAAAATAGATGTTGTCCTATTCTCCACCCTAGCCGATATACACACAATATTTCACGAAAATCGGTCGAGCCGTTTCGGAGGAGTTCAATTACAAACACCGTAACACGAAAATTTTATACATTAGAATATACACCCGCACACTGGAAAAATACTATGTTCATCACACAATATTTTTCCATTAGTGGGGATCGAACCACACCATCGGGCGCAATCGACATGTTGACTACCCACAAAGCAACTGAGACGTGTTGTCGATCTGTTAGACTGTGGGCCTCAAATGGCTAAGTCAAGCCGCGGCTATACATGACGATATTCAAAAATTGAAAGTTAAGTTATAATAACTAAACAGAGAAAAAATTTTTAAAAAAAAATTATAAAGCTGAAATTACTGACTTGCACCAAAAGAATCAAATAGACAAGCAATCCAACATACATTTTTAAAAATGTATAAACGTATTGGATGTTGGAATTCACGACAACACGCGACGAAAACTGAGCGTGATTTCGCAGCGTTTATCTAGTCAACTGTGACCCTCGCCCATCTTGTGACGCTCGGTGTGTGCTACAAAAGACTTAGATGGCTCAACGTGGGGCACAATCAGTGCTCAGTCAAGTCTTGGAGTAACCGCTCGCATTCGTGTCAAATCAGTCGGAATACACGCGTCCTATCAACAATGTCGCTCCTGTCATTCAGAATGCTGTCACCGGCGCTTATGATACTCGTAAGATAAATTTTTTTTATTTTTCATTTACTGCCGTTTTTTATGCGACCAGTGCGTTTGTAATGCTGCAAAAGGATTTATTGTCTGTCGTGTGTCGAACGTCTGGACAGTGCATAAAGACGTTTGTTATTAGTATGTTTATATGCGATCTAGCCTTGAGAAATATGTAATGAGCGTATTATTTTATCTTAATGGTGTGGATCTGAAAGGTGCAATTATTGGTAGTAAATAAGTTGCTCATCGCTTGAATATAAATTGTAAGTTAACATAAACTAAAACATGGCCAATAGAATTTTTAAAGGGTACTCTCTGAACTATTACTACATAAATTAATAAAAATTTAAACAAAAGTAAGCCACAGACTAAACAGATTTTTTTATCAAACCAAACAAATATTGCTTTAATATTGACTTTTAAAGAATATCTTATTACTAAAGAATCACGAATGTAAAATAGTCCGCGCAAAAGTTTCACCGTCGTGTAAAATAATTATTAATGAAATTGTGAAAATATGTACCAATGGATATAAATTCATCGATATGGTACAATTTTGCAACGGTAAAATAAAATGCATGAAGTCTTTGAAATTTTTACTACGATTTGTCACAATAGGGTGAGACTAAGGAATACTTTAATTGTACTAATTCATGTCGGAATGGCCAACTTGGTACAGATTAATTTGGAACATAGATATAACTTTAATAGTCTAATATTTTTTGTTATTCAAATATTTAATTTCCAAGGTTAGTCCTTGCCGCTGGTAACCACGAGGCAATTGTAATATAATTGTATCTATATAGTGGCTTCAGTCTATTTATTAATGATGAATCTGTATATAAAAGTTATTTAATCAAAGGACACGAAACCAATCTTGATGAACTGTTTAAAAATCTGGCAAGCACTTTCTTTATTGAAAATGTTCATTAGAGAAATGTTGAAATTCCAGTTGCTGCTTTACTAGCTTCGGCAGGTTTATGTTTACGTACTAAAACTTTTCTTAGGACACTGATACTTTATTCAAAAGCACTTTGATGACGTATTTTATTTATGTAAAATGTCAGCAAGCGAGCAGACGGTTCACCCGATGTTAGTTGATTAATGCTGCCCAAAGACATTTATAATCGTGGGGTTACATATAAGTTGAGAATCTTTGGAAGAGTGGGCCCCATCACACTCTACTCACTCACCAGATGGACGCAAAATATTTAATAATGCTCCCAGTTCAAGCTGGCCTTCTGTGAGGCCGTTGTGCATCCCCGAACAAGCCTGCCTATTCGTTGAAAAAGTCGCAAAGTTTTCGTCTCAAACGTACGTGACGAAGCTAAGGTATTACGCGTAAAGACCCTCATAAAATAATGATGCCCTAATTTGGTAAGCGTGAGCAGTAAAAAGAGTCAACAGATAGCTGTTGAATCTTACCGCTATAAAAGCGACTAGAAATCTGATATTACACGCAAACGGCTTTAATATATTTTCTAGTAAAACGGTAATGGAAGCCACTATCTTTATTCTGAACGCATATTATAATAAAAAATATCATACCTTACCTCTGCGAGTCTCATATGAAACGTCACTTTAACAACATTTTACTGGGAACGTGCGGAAACTGGTTCTATTGGAACGAAAATTTAACATAATTGACAAAGCGATAAATAAACCGAGCAGCATTCGTGTGTCTGGTGCCATTTTTAAATGGTTTAATGTTAAGGCCACTGAGACGTATTTTTTACATTACTTTTTTAATCTGTACATCTGTACAAAACAATAAACATAATTGCTACTCCTCTGTTTAGTTTATGTTAATTTTTGTTAATTCGCACGGAAATGTGATGATATCCGTAACAATTAATAAAAGTTGGCCTGATGAGATTATCATATACAATATTTCATCAAACTTGGCAACCTTTTCAAAATGTCCTAGTGTTATAATAAACACATAACACTATCATGGAACATGATCCAGCCGCTTGACAAATAATGATCTGATTGTCATCAGTTTTGTCAAGTTTAGTGATATGATAGGTAACCGTTAAGGAAATCAGACCATTTTGTATTTATTCGTATAGTTATTTGATTTTCTGCGATGCGTCAGCCGGGTGTGTTAAAGTGAAACCTGCCGTAGTAGTTATTAATAAATATAAATAACTGTTAATCAACTCGGAGAGTAAACGCCTGTATATCCAATATTTACTATAGAGTTCTAAGAAATATTTTGTACATGACTCTGTATATATATGAAGATCATCCTTAAAAACATTTTAAATGAGAAGAATAATTGCACAAATTTACCGCTAAATAGATTAAAAGGAACGAGCGAGAACTTTCTCTATGATCAAACCCCCAATCAGAGTGTGCCTCTTTTTGTAATCCATGTTTGTAATCCATCAGAAACGAAATAATCTAACATTACGACTGAAAATAGAATTCGGTTTAAATTACGAAACATCAGTTTATTTCAACTAACGTAAGAAAGAATAAATATAATTCAAAGTACTAAGAATTACTTAAGAATGATGTTAGTTCGCGATTAAACATTTCATCCACCGAAAGCACTACCTTTTTTCAACAACAGTGTTGTTGAAAAAAGGTAGTGCTCATATTTCATATAGTAGGTTCATATTTCTGATATTATATTTTAAAAAAATTGTAGATTCAAGTCTTGCTATTATTTTATGATTCGTATTCACTACTACTATGAAACAGCCGATTCAATCATGAATTCAATTGTGCCTTACCCGTAGATTTCAATTGTGTCTTATTAGGTAAACACGCCGTTTATATAATACAAACAGTTACAACAGGAGGAAAACTAGCTACTAAAACAAACAAAAAGAAAACCGCTTGACAAACAAAATAAATACTCAAGTGCTTTGTCCTTGCATACTTATATACAGAACATTTGAAATAAAATACGGAAAATTCGTCGGCAACTTTAAAGATTCAGAAAGCAAAACCAGTAATCTGTGGATTCGCAAATTACGACTGCAGATAATCTTCAGAGGTGGTGTTCAAGTTAGTTACACCTTGCTTACCTCATAAACTATTAACCGCAAAGGAGCGCGCACTGTGATTAAGATCGCGTGATCCACATACTGATTATAGCGAGGAGCACGCAGGGTTACGTCCTAGCACCCCAGGTATTCCCCTGGTTTTTAGCCAAACGTCATTATATTCACGTCCACTTTGTTCTGCTATGTGATTTCTTTATTATTACAACATACGAAATAATTAACACAATGTTCTGATTTTAACAGAATTATAACAGTACTCAACGTTAAAGTTATGACTACTTATTTATACCACCTTTGAACGTATTCGTTAAGCCCATAGTTGATTTTAATCCCAGGCGAAAAGATAATCTAAGATTAATTCTACTTATGTCATGCACATAATTGCGAAATGTGAATAAAACCGTGTCTAATTATTGATCCTCAGGTCGCCGCATATAACCTGCATCACACAAATGCTGCTTGGTTGAAGCAACGAGGTGAGTGGAATCATGAAAAATAACGGCTTTGTGTCTTTGATAATACTTATAACGAATAACAAATGAAAAGTGAATATTGATTGTGGAACCGTGATAGGTTGACCATCCTCATCAGTTTCTATAATTGGAATTCTATTGAATTCAACTCAATCATAGTGATTATTCAAATATAAACAGCAGACCAAAAGTTCTAATGAAAAAGTTCATGTTGTGTAAAAAATAAATAAATGATAATATAATATTTTCATACACATTGCTCTTACTGTGGGCTAAAATTATCCTGTGTTGTAAGAGCGTTTTACAAACATGAATTTCACGTAGACAAACACCCAACAATTATCTGTGGGTCACACAATACTTATCCCCTGTAGGAATCTAATCTATGACCCCCCGTGCCGAGGCCAATACCTTGACAACGGCGCCATGGAGTCATCAATTGTTATTAACAGAAAATTTATTTACAGATAACGATAACATATTCTTCCCGGGTTCTATCATGGGCGATGCCAATAAGTTTGGCACCGATGACATCCCAGAGGAATGCAGAGATAAGACCTACTGCACCATTAAGCCTCCAAGCTACCCAGAGGAACATTTCAATAAGATGTTTAAAGGCGTGGTAAGTTTTTTTTGCATATATTTCATGTATGTCTTAGTTTTTGAAAGGAACAGAAGCGTATTTAATCTACGTTTAATATTTGATCACTCATTTATTTAAACTGAAAATTGTTTCTTTGATACTTAAACTTATTGTTTATGTAAAAACTGGTAAGCGAGCAGGTGTTAAGTAATAATGCCGCCCATGGACGTTTACAAATACCCGTAGTATTCCAGATGCGTTGCCACCTTTCAATAAAGTGAGCCCAGGTTACCTCACTCAACAGACGAAATGCAGAAGTATTAAACTTCGACTTGATGCCGATCTTCTGAGGTCGTCTTCGTGCAACAGAATATGTGCATTTTGTAGCTGTTACTTGTAATATAATTATTAGTTAGTAATATATAATTGATAATCCCTTTAATAATATCATATCGCCAATCTAAAATATTTTTGTTATAAGCCACAATTAATTGTTCCGACTCAAAATGTTTAGTATTTTTTTATGTTTAAAATTCAATGTCAAGTTTGTTTTTGCAACTGACTAACCACTAATTATATTTCACCAATAAGCTCAATGTGTCGTGGTTAACATTAGTCATTTCTCTCTATCCTGTTAGGGTTAAGAAAAAATATTGCCACAGCCGTAACATTTTGTTATTTTATTTTAGAATAAAAATCTATTTTAAAGATAAAATGTATGTAATAGACCCAACTTGTGGTGATCACATTGTTTTATAGTTTCAATATTTTCCATATCTGTATCATTAAACAATATAGATATGGTTAAAATATTCCTAACCATCTATTCGATGAACAGTTCAATTTAATTATATTTTTTTCTTAAAACTCTAAAAGACCAAGTCTAGCCAAGTAAAGTCGATTTTGGCTGTTAGATAAATTATTTTCAAGTAACGATCGAGTTACGTAATTAAAATGTATTGTTTCAGAAAACTTTGGCCCAACCAACGCTTGTACTAGAATCGATGCTAACGAATCGACAAGGGGATCCGGATGAAAGAGACGATTGCGAAAGCGAAGTAAAGGTAATTATAAAATGTACTTATAAGAATATAAAAAAGAAAATCAAAGTAAGAATACTATGTAATTATGAAATAAAAACATGATTACAAATTAAAATAAACATACAAATAACACTAAAGTGTTAAATAACTAAATAAAAAATTAAGTACCAACCAATCAGTTTTATCAAGATTCCACTGTGCAGAAGGTTAAATGTAATTTCTATTCTATGTGCTTACGACAGCTCTCACATAATGGTTAAAACTTATAATTATAAGTAAAAGAATGATTATACAGATGTATATAAAGTCACACTCAGCCGGGCAGTAATCGCAATGGATAGTAGCAAGACAAATAAAAACGATTTGGTCAAAACGCCAAATTGATCCCTGAACTTTTGTTGACCAAGGTCACTTTGGCTGGAACGCTAGCGCGTGCCGTTAACGGGAAGTGGTCACAATAAAATTCACAAAGCGTCGTATCGACAGTTAATTATTGGCATACGTAAGCTTGCTTGACATTTATATCGAAGTTAGTTTTAAACTGTCCGTTCTTAAATCAAGGAAATAAGTAAATTAGTAACCTACGAATCGTTTCCCTTTTTAATGTAATACAATTGTTATATTATTAATGATTAATATTATTATAAATTTTATACATTAATAAACGAATATCTTTATTTTTCAGTACGAGCCCCTTTATAATGTGCGTTCAAAGCGTGATGGTGAATGGAGGGTTGTCGTTCAAGGGCCAGGGGAGGATTACGTCCAAAGAGTTCGCTTGGAAACTTGCACGTAAGCTGATGCTACTTTTATATTTTATATGAATAATTCCTAATACAGTCGAGACGAAAATGTTTGATGATTCGAGTAATTAATAATTAAATTACACCCAAATCTGGTTAATAAAGTAGCAGTTCCAAGGCAGTCACTCATGGAATCATTTCAGAATTTCTTATTTCGGTTGTATTCAAATCTTCGTTCTATTGGCTATATCTATCACGAAACGTTCACGATCAAGCCAGCATAAGCCATAATAGCACATTCATATTAAATTGTTTCTCAAGTTTGCGTAGCGCCTTCCTACGACCAAATAATCTCATTTGAGGAAGGCCCATCATCCCACGACCGCTATCACCATATCATCGACACGCCTCCTTAGTCTACGTTAGTGGAAAAGTCCTTAAGTACTTCTTAAGTACTTCTTTATTCATGAATACACCATTACCATACAGGAATCCCGACGGTCCCTGTTTCAACGTATTCCCGCCGACTTCCGACATCAAAGTGTTCTGCAAGCAGAAATACAACAAGTGGAAAGTTCTAGTGGCCAAAGGTGACAATGAAACGGAGAAAATTGAAGTTGACCTGCCAGTTTGCTGCTCTTGTCAGTACAAGTCTGCCCCTATAGAGACCCGTTTTGGGATCCCGCAAGCCATGACCCCTGCGGTAAAGCCTTGAAAGAAGAGATTCACAATCACACGCAGGTCATAAAACATTCCGATGTAACTAAAACGGACAAAAAGATTAGTAATTCTCTTGATACATAACTATATCTACAAGTAACCAAGTGTTAGTTACGTCGTTTACGCTCATCGAAATCACTAAGTCCTCAATAGATATGTTTTTCTGCATTTTTTTTTTCACTGATACGTTACTTTTTAAATATTAAATAAACATTCGCTTTAAATTAAAGCTCGATTTAAATGATTACATTATTAGTATTGTTAGAAGTTATTAATTTAAAAGGAAATCTCATGAGTGATATTCGTTTGCTAAAATTTAAATTGGTGAGTAAGGTAACCGGGGCCTACTTTATTTAAAGGTCTGCAATCTTACACGTGTTGCAAATGTCCATGGCCGAAATTAGTAATTCTCTAGAAATTTTGCTATTTCTATAAGTAACGTGTAAGTATGTAAAGTATTAGTTATGTCGTATACGCGCATCGATATCACTAAATCCTCAATATATATCTTTCTGCATTTTTTTACTAATACGTTACATTTTGTTATTAGCAATAATACAATATAAGACTAACTAAAAGTTAAAAGTTAAGTCAAGTTCGCTTTAAAATAAGCTTGATTTAAACAATTAGAAGTTTCTAAGTTAAAGGGAAATCTCATGTATCATATTTGTTTCCTGAGATATAAATTTTTGAGCCCTAATAAACTTAAGTAACTCCCAACTGGTAGTTCTATTGATCCCCATGTGATCGCAATATTGCAATTATGTATATTATTTTACAAATTATCTATCTCAAAGTTCAATTCAACAATTTCCCTAAGTTTAAGCTAAGAGGCGTTTAGTTGTAATAAATATTTATACGTGTTTAAGTGTTTTAGAATAATTATTGGTAAATCAAAGACGTAATGTAGTCCACTCTATTAACATCACCAAAATTAGGTCAAAGTAATGATAATTAAATTTAATCAAAAGAAATTAATTTGTTATACCAAAAATTATATTAGATTCTTGCGATCTCTGTAAAAACAAGAATAACTGAAGTATATATATACAGGTATAATCAAGCACGAAATTCATAAAAACGAATACCACAAAACGTCATACGACAAAAGATCAACGATCAATGAACGTGTAGAAATTAAATTATTTATTAATCTAGATTTAGTTTAAAATTATAAGGTTTTATATGATAAATAATCATGTTTTGTGATTTTATTTCTGGCTCATTACAATAATACTAGTCAACTGTGAATTTAAAATAAAATAAAAATTTACCACAAACGACGTGTTTTAATTAAAATATAGGTTATTAAAGATGTCACTCAAGTGTCATATAAGATAAAATTCTGATTCATCAATACCTAATCTAAAAAACCCTTTTAAAGAATATAATTAGCAGCTTTGTTAACATGTACTCAAGGAAATAAAAATAAATAAGATAATTTAATTCGCTGTTACACTAAAGCTGTCGTGACCGAGAATGTGTTGGTTGAATTGAATTGCAATTGCCAACAAAATCACGTATTACGACGAAAATGATATTATGATTATCAACAAAATCATTTTATTTATTTATTTATCTATAATTTATATACACAGAGAATAATGACAGAAGTGTAAATACATGAAAGGACTTGTACAAAGGCCCTGCAAATGTACAAATCATGTAACACGACGTCCAATACTGGACTCACGGGAGCTCAGTAGGAAAGACTGAGATCCCCGGAGATCGGGATAGTGACATGGAATTATTTATTTGTATTATTATTTATTTACATTGATTTCATTATATTCTACGTTAAATATTATTACTACATTTTTTTTATTTGATGACTGTATAGCAATCCAATTGCTAAAGCTAAATTTGCATGCTGTTAAACAGCTAAATAGGTTAAAGCGACAAATATGTACCTAAACATCTTTGTAACCCTATTTATGGCAAATAAATATTTGAATTTGATTATGAATTTGAAGAAAAGATTTTAAGTCTTAACAGATTTGATGACTTTTGAAACAGACTTGTGTATGCGATTTGATATTTATACCTATATCGAACAGATTTATACTTGTATATCGAATCCTTATCATCAAGTACAGGTAAGGTACAGGTGTTTTAGGAGTCACGAGTCCATTGAATACTAACGGGGAAATACCCGAGACAAACATGCCTCGAAAGCCTTCGAGCTTAGTGTCTCTTAAACAAGGATTAGGCTAAGCGTCTTCAGCGCCCGATATTTTGCATATTTATAATATAAGTACAGTATAGAAAAGAAAGATTAATATTTATTTCAAGTTTTAAAGCGTTCAAAAAATAATCCTTACTATCCGTACTAATATTATAAAGGCGAAAGTTTGTACGTATGGATGGATTTTGTTACTCATTCACGCAAATACTACTGAGTGGATTTTAATGAAACTTTACAATAATATAGCTTATACATCAGAATAACACATAAGCCATAAATTATGTCTTTCTGTCCGAATTTTATGCCTATTCTACGCAGACGTAGTCGCGGGCAGCAGCTAGTTTTCTATATGTATAAGTTGAGAATAGTGTGATTAACAAAAAATATCTTTTAATGTATAAAAGTCTTTGCGTCCACTATATTATACTGAATGCTTTATTCATTTAGTTCTATAGTTTTTAGTAAAAAAAACATACCCGCTTAATGATTCAAGTTTCAAATTATGTAACGTTTTAAAAGTATTATAACAGGTATATTATAACGTTAATACGTAAAATGTTAATAAACTAAACGTAGGACAGTCACAGTTTGTTCAAATCATGACGTTTATCTCACTTAGAAAATTTTTATTCCCGTCATAATTTCTAAACGAAAATTTGGATCACGTACATCATCAATCTTAATTATAAAATCATTTAAATGGATAAGGGTAATATAATGATACGAATATCACCAATATTCGATTCCACCCGTATTTGAACTTAACAATTTAAACAAAAACTGTTGTTTATATTTTATTATATCGTTAGTAGTTTTCGCAGCGCACGCAAAATAATGACTTTTATAAACAACATTTTGCGTACTTGGATTACATTGTTCCATTTTAGTTAGGGATCGCTAATGTTTTTGAAAATATATTATAGCTTACTAGCGGACCCGACAGACGTTGTCATGTACACACGTCTTAAATTCGAAATTTTTTTGAATAACGTTGTGCCGTGAGAGCCGTGAAAGCTCAGTGTCCGGGCGCTCGCCTTTATTTCAATATACTCGAGCAACCTGAGTTCGATCCCCGGTGCCGGCACCAATGAAGTTTTTAACTTTAAGTGCCGACTTATCACGCGCTCCACGGTGAAGGAAAACATCGTGAGTAAACCTGCATATTTTAACAAAATAAAAAATATTCTTCGAATATATGTGAAGTCCGCCAATCTGCAGTGGGGCCGCGTGGTGGACTATGCCCTGATACCCTCTATATAGAGGAGGCCTTTGCCCAGCAGTGAGACATGTATAGGCTGTTACTTTACTTTTTTTACTTTACGTTGTGAATCTAAACAATTGTCGAATCCACCTGAAACCACACAAAAAGTTTCATTATAATCGGTTCAGCCGTTTAAGAAGAGTTCCTATAACCTTCCTCTTGAATCACTCTATCTAGTAAAAAAAAACCGCATCAAAATCCGATGTGTAGTTTTAAATATCTAAGCTTACATACGGACAGACAGACAGCGGGACGACTTTTTTATACTATGCAGTGATATTACTCGGTAAAGGTTTAGGTTCCTAATTCTTAAAATCGGTCCAGTTAGGAAACTAAACCTTTACCGAGTAATATCACTGCATAGTATAAAAAATCGAATCATTTTATAACATTATTTTAAACTAGCGACTCGCCCCGGCTTCGCACAGGTTCAATGTATTATACATATGAACCTTCCTCTTGAATCACTCTATCTTGTAAAAAAACCGCATCAAGGTCCGTTGCGTAGTTTTAAAGATCTAAGAATACGTAGGGACAGACATACAGCGGGACGTATGTATGACGGACGTATGTAGGGAAGTTTAGATGAACGCAACTGCGCAAGTGAGTACATGGCGTCTCCGCCATTGTCTTGTGACTGCCCGCAGAATATACACGAGTAACCAAAATTACACGGCACCGCGCTATAATATATGCGTCACAATTTCCCTACGCACCATAAATGCGTCACAACGTGTGTGTCACAAACGTCAACAGAAATTAAGAGCCGAATCGGTTTTTGCTCGACTGAAAGCAGTTTACGACCTTAAAATTAAAGTTTTTTTAAAAATACGAAAATATTCTCGCCGCTGTGGGAATCGAACCCACGTCTTCGGCATTCGCGGCCTGACGCTTTAGCCACTAAGCTAAACGGCTGTTTGCCACACCGACGAAAATCTTAACGTGTTTTATCTACATTGTTTTTTAGCATTTGAAGCAATGCTTGGCGCATCTACGACAATCAAATCAAAGCAATCTAGGACCCACTGAGCGGAATCTTGGCTTCGTCAATCTTCTGTATAGTCAATTTTTCTGCAGATACGATATCACACAAACTGCCGATGTTTTTCTTTGTTCGGAGAGGCTATGACTGAATCTCCAGCCTACGGGCCAGTCGGCTCGAGGATTATCTTGCAGGCTCCCTAGTCCACCTCTGAATTCTGCCAACTAATTCATAGCGATATACGAAGGAGTAGATTCACTGCTAATGTGAAAAACAACAATGTCATAGAAGATTTAAATGGGGCTTTATGTTTTTCAAACAAGAACTTGATAACCGCAAGTTGTGGTATTTGGTCAATTCGATAAAATAAGCACGCTTGGCCACCCTTGGCAATGTTTTAAAACCGCAAATGCCACGGCAACAATAATACGCAACACCACGAAAAAAACAAAGCTTTTGACAATAGTAAAATAAAAATATAATTCGTATTTTGCTTTGATGTCGCCGATTGAATCCAACCTCGTAAATACAACACATATCTCTTGGACAATCAAAACAACAACT